TGGCCCTGGGCTAACATCCGTGCCCATCCTCCTCCACTTTATATGGGACGCCGCCACAGCATGGCCTGCCAAAGCAGTGCGTCGGTGCGCACCGGGGATCCGAACCAGCGAACCCCGGGCCGCCGCAGTGGAGCGTGCGCACCCAACCGCTTGCGCCACCGGGCCGGCCCTGGATAATAATATTTACCTTTAACTGTCGTTTGGGGGATTCAGTGAGATAATATATGTAGGTGTCTTGCCAAACACCTGAAATATAGCTCAAAAATAGTATTTATTATTAACAGGTAGTAGGTATATGTCCACATAAACTATGATGTTAAATAATTTCAGTCATAAAATCAGATTTCTATCCTAAAATATTCCTGGGAATAAAGGCATAAATCTAAATAACTATTTGATGGTAAATTAAATACTCTTTCACTTATTTCTAAATAGATATTGTTAAAGTGTTAAACTATTAAAATTTATTAAAATTATTTGAAATCAAATGCATTCTGTGCTGTAGGATCTTGGCAAATTACTTAACATCTCTGAGTATGTTTCTTTACCTATAAAATGGAAATAATAATACTATTTCCTTAGCAGTATTCTGATGATTCAGTTTGTTAAAATATGTAATGTGCTCTGCAATGTGCCTAACACACTGTGAATTTTGGTTAAATGATTCAGTTTGGCAAATATTGAATTAATGCCTAATATAAGCCAGATATTATTTTAGTTTCTGGGAAGTAAAAACAAGAATAAGACACAATCCTTGCCTTCAGGAAGCTTTCAACCTAGTAGGAAAGACAGACGTGCACATTTATAAAACAACGAGATAAATGTTATGCTAGTGTAAGATTAGAATACCAGGGAAGTGCACAGCAGGCATTGTACAATAGCACAATAGTCGATTAAAAGTGTGTGGATGGTGGGCATATTTAAATTAAAAAAGAGCATCGTGAGACTGGAAAGTAGCAATTTAAGGCCACCATGTGGTTGAGTCAATGGCCAAAGGATTATTTCTATTCTAGAATCACAAGCTTATCTGTAACCAGGAATGTTCTGAATCAGAAGTGGATGCATAAAGACAGCAAAATGGAAAGCACCTTCCAATTGGCAGTGGGTCAGAAGGGGAATGGAGTCAGCAGTAGCAAGACCTACTTCTGCTGACTACCATCTACCTCAAACGCAGTCCCCCTGGTTGGAGGCCATGTCTGTGCATGAGAAGGAAGGGCAGTTCTTCCAGGACAGTCATATCTGCTTTGAGAATCTGATGAAAGCTATGAAAACTTTCCAAGGAAAAAATGGACTTGTAAACAAACAAAATCGCCATGGTAATCTCCAGTGAGGCTCTTGCCCTTCTGAGGTGCAGAGTCAGAGCTTCTGTTTTAAAAGAAGATCCGTACTGCTGCATCTTCTCCCCTCTCTGGAGAACCAGTAAATATTGGCTACTTCATCGCTTATATCACCATATTAACACTGATGATCCTCAAATCACTTCTGGGTAGTCCCCTGAGTGTGCGGCAACCTTTCTGTACTCCATCCTACCTGGCATCTCCCAGTGCACATGGGTGTAAGACTGCTCCAAGATGAAAGGCTTAAAGAAAACCCAACTGTAAACAATCTAGACACTGCCCTGATATTTATCAAGCTCTCTTGAGAGTAATACTTCAAATATTACTATACAACAGCTACTACTATCACTGCTAGTAAAGTGTACATTACTGTCTTTACTTCCATGAAGTAGAAATTTGACTGGAAAGGTAGGACATTTGGTTAACAAGAACCAGCTGCCCCTGCCTGTTTGCTAATCCTTGTCAAATGTTACTGAGGACCCAGTCTTCTCCCATGACCTCCTTGAGGGAGTCTGATGGGCTATTTTGTTTTATGTCTTATCAGCAAGTTCCTGAAGATACAGTGCCTGGAGGGTGGAATCTGGGAGCAAGGCAGCTGCGTCCCAGTGGTTTGTGAGCCCCCTTCTCCTGTCTTTGAAGGCATGTATGAATGTACCAATGGCTTTGAGCTCGACAGCCAGTGTGTGCTCAAATGTAACCAGGAGAGTGAAAGGGTAAGGATAACTTGAACTTTGTTTTGGGTCAGGCTGTGCTCTAATCTTGATGACCAGTCCAAGAATGTTGAGTCGAAGTGATCTAAATGTATCCCAACAGGCAGGGCATTCCTAAGTTGGGATTCTAACCAGGGATGGTGTTATTATTTGATAGAGAATTCAGAAGATACCAGGTTTTTGGAATATTCTCTCCTGAGTTCAGAACTTCCTCTTGGATAAGAAGAAAAGCCTGTTGGGTTGGGTACCTGAGTAAATTCCAGAAAATGCTGGGATTCTGATTTGATGATGTGATTTCCTCCTGTGTATGACCACTGACCAAACTTGGCTAGGAATGTTTGTATTATATTTTTCAACAGAACAGAGTTCTGAACCGAAACACAAATTCCTGAGCAAAGGCAAGGCTGAAAGCTCTGTTTGATGATTTGATGATTATTCTCCCTAGGATTTTGGCACAAGAGGTCTCAAATGAACAGTCTTATCATGGTTGTGTGACTAAAATCAATTTTATTTTAGAATCTTTTCAATTACCATGTACATACATGAGACAGGAAGTTAAGCAGACTTCCTAGGCAAAGATCAATGACCTTGACTGCTCTCCTGGCATATGTCTTTCTCTCGGTGTCCAGCATTCCAAGGAAAGGACGGCGGGACAGATGGGAAAAAGATATGCCTCGAAATGAGACCCTCGAGAAATCAAACACATCTGTTTGCACTGATTGTGTAAGGATTCAAGGAGTTGGCCAGATGAAGGAAGAGTTATCTATAATTCTAAAATCTTACTTTCTTGGGTTTTGTGAGTTACTGCTATTCTCTGCATTCTGCGTATAGTATACTTCGTGATTATTAGGGGTGTGAAGCCAAGAGTTACACAAACCAGCACACTTGTGGAAAAAGAGACTAATACATCTTTGGCGAGCTCAGAAACAACTATGATGTGACTATGCAAGCAGAAAGGCAAAAAACATCTTCAGAAAAATTATGACTTGATTTCACTGGATCAAACTCAACTTGAAATAAAATCTGACATTTGGGGCCGGCCCAGTGGCGCAAGCAGTTAAGTGGGCGCGCTCCGCTGCGGCGGCCCGGGGTTCGCCAGTTCAGATGTCGGGCGCACACCAACACACCGCTTGGCAAGCCATGCTGTAGTGGCGTCCCATATAAAGTGGAGGAAGATGGGCACGGATGTTAGCCCAGGGCCAGTCTTCTTCAGCAAAAAAAGAGGAGGATTGGCAGATGTTAGCACAGGGCTGATCTGATGTTAGCACAGATGTTAGCACAGGGCTGATCACAAAAAAAAAAAAAATCTGACATTTGCCACAAGCAGCATTTGTGTGATAGTATAGATGAATCAAAACAAAGCAACACCGTCTGGGAAAAAATTTCTGGAAATATTTCAGAATAGATGGGCTATAGTTGATAGCTTATCATTTCCTTATATCCAAAGGAAAACACATTATTAATAAGTTTTATTAATGACAAAATTGTTCATGGAAAGGATTCCTTCACATCAAAACAGCAAAGAAATATCTTGACTTTTTTTTGGTCAGTAACAACATGGTTTATTATTTCAATAGTGTCTTTTAGTCCAGGTTGTAGAAGTTGGAGAACACTACCATTTAATTAGACCACTTCTTTCTCCACTCAAAATGAGGTTAATAAAACAATAATGAAATATTCTTTATCTTTGATATTCTAGCTTCCCATCCTTTGCACTAAGGAGGGACTGTGGACTCAGGAGTTCAAGTTATGTGAGAACCTGCAAGGGGAATGTCCACCACCTGCCTCAGAGCTGAATTTCGTGGAGTACAAGTGTGAACAGGGGTACGGGATTGGTAAGTTCTGGAAGAGCTGCCGAATTTTGCTCCCAAGTAATCTTTTTATTAGGCCTGGCTGGATCTTGAGCCAGTTCCACTGTTCTCTCTGAGGAGTGCATGGAAATGCAAGTTGACTCTTAGCTGCTACAGTAAAAATGAAATTTATGGCAGATTCGTTCGTTTTACTCTTCCATATGTGTATAACATCGATGCAGCTGCTGAGCCATTTGTATGGTGTCTGGTCGCGTTACCCACTTCACTGCGGGCTGAGAGTGGATTGGTTTATGGTAGGAGTTGTAGTTCCAAGAGGAATGGTGGGAATGTGTAGCCACACGCCACGCATGCACTGGGCTCCTCCTCCATTCTCTCTGTGGTTGTTACTGGAGCAGAGAGTTCCTGAAAGAGATGATTTGAGATTGCACTTGCTTGCATTGCTCTTCAGTCATTCTTTCTCTACAGGGGACCAGGCTCCAGAGCCTGTGGGCAACTTCGTATTCAAATAATTGCAATTAAAGGTCTCTATGGCCAGAGCTGATTTATAGTGGTGTTGACTCAACTTTGCCCTGGGTGAACCTACGAATCATGGAAAAGAGATGCTATTTGTAGGAATCCTGTGAGATTACTCCTAAGTTTTAAACTACACAAGCAAGAAGTAACTTTATAAGTCATTCTAACTTGTGTAATGCCAAGGGTATAATTTGAGTTAATTGGGAACCTCGTTAGTTTCTGAAATGGTTCTTTACCATTTCAGATTGCTCTTTGCATCATGATATCCATGGTCAGGCATGAATGTCAGGATGCTTAGACTATGCCTCTGGAGTGGTGTTTCATGAGCAAATTTTCATCTCCCAGGCATCTAATTTCTTCGTTAAAATATCATACGCTCACATATATAGAGTCATGTAGCACCTTGGGTTATTATAAATAAGTTAGTGAAAATAGAGATAGTGAGAGTTGAAAAGAAACTTGGAGATCATCAAATCTCTAGATGAGGAAGTAGAGAATCGTGAGAGGGTGCCTTCTTTGAATAGAATTTTAGGAGACATTTGGACCCCACATACAAGGGATACAGCAAGATTTTCCTTGAGGAGGCCAACACATGACAAAAATCTCTGCTTTTGATTTCCTGCTGCTTCCTCTTTTAATCACATAGGTTTCTTGGCTGCCAATGTAATGATCTTCAGTGTAGCAACAGACATTACAAATCTGCCTTCATAATTTCTGGGCCATTTTTTCCCCCAGCTAATAAAGTTCTTAGTAGATGCTGTAATTATATGTTTTCAGGAAATTATGTAAGGAGGAATGATATTAAATGTACTAAAAAGGTACCAACCAATCAAGATAGACTTGCTGGCCAGAGTCCTGGAGTGGGTCTTAGAGGTCTGCCAGACCAGGAGTTAATCTTTTAATTGCTGGATCATGCAGAGATTCAGGAATTCCGGAGGAGAGACTCTACTGGACCAGAAAGAGGAAGGGGCACTAGAGGCAAGGCGTATTAACTTGGGGCAGTGGCTCTTTACCTATTAGTGTAGAAGTATCCCTATAGGTATATAGTAGATGAATATCAGCCCTGCCTATAACCATAATAATGCGGTGACCCAGATGTAGAAAGAAATTGCTGTAGGAAAATCAAAGCTATTGATTCCAGGATGAAAAAGACTGAGATCTGGGAAGTTCAAGTCTCCGCTGTAAATTTCTCTTTCTTCAGGTGCAGTGTGTTCCCCATCGTGTATAATCCCCCCTAGCGATCCTGTAATTCTGCCTGAGAACATCACTGCTGACACGCTGGAGCACTGGATGGAACCTGTCAAAGTCCAGGTGAGGAAAGGCACATTTTTATGTGCCAAAGATGTAAAACTGCAGAGCAATTCTCAATGGACAGCATATTCCCTGGAGTATTTCAGAGGCTTTCAAGGCATCCTTAAAGCAAACACCCATATGGATCATTCCTAGAGAGCAGGACTCAAAATCAAGAAGGAAAAAGGAAAGCTTGAGACAAAAGATGGCTCACATCCAAAGGAAAGTTTAAAAGATAAGATAGAGGGAAGACTCAGAGACACAAAGAACGATCATATAGGAAGGAAATTGAAAGGGAAAATTACTACTAATGAAAAATAGGACAGAAAAACTTAAGATAAGCCAAAGAAATGTATAAAGATGAAAGAAGGATGGAAAGGGATGGATGAATTAGAAAAGTTGAAAATAAAATGAAAACAGGGAGAGAATGACTAAGGGAGCTGAGGAAGAAAAGAATTGCCTTTCCTCTGTCTATCTCGCACCCTTTCTGGCCTCTGAAATCCTTCCTCTGGGCTCTCTGGTGTTCCAAGTCAGTCATGAGCAAGATGCACTACATCTACAACCTCTTCTCTGGGCTTTCTGTTGATTTTATGATTTGAGGGTACAACTAAGCTACGTGGTGCTGGTCACAGTTTGCAGTATTGTTGTGGGTACTATTGCTTTAGTGTACTCTTGAGATTTGTGCCGTGTTTCTATGTGAAAACAAAATTAAGTAATTAAATTAGCTGCTTCCAACAATATAGGGGAAGAATTGAGGTAACTCACAAAATGAGCCTCATCTTTACCTTGTAAGAGTAATTTGTTCCTGAAAAAAACCCCTGAAGGTCAGAATTTCAAAAGTTGAAAATATAGTCAACAGCATTTTTATTTGTTCCTGAACCCCCAAATCAATATTCTTTATGCCAAAAGAAAACCAAGGATTAATAAAATAGTTAACACTAATTATCAGAGAGTGGGAAAACAAGCTGTTTCCTGTGCTCTCTCTGCTCTTTCATAGATATTATGAAATTAGGGAGTATGCTTACAAACAAAGCTTATGTGAGATGCTTCGTTTTTAGGAAATTGAAACTTAATTGTAACAGAAAAAGAAGAAAAAGAAGTCAATGGAAGCAATGGAAATGATGATGAGGTTACTGCTCTTGTGTTCTGAGGTCCTCAGAGATGAGATTATGCACCAACCACAGATACTCTCATGACGTCGCCATTTTGTGGCGCTCAGCAGGTCAGGAGAGGTGCAAAATCTAATCTCGTCCTCATGAATAAGAAGAAATGCCTCATAAACCAAAGCAGTTGTATTAAAACCAAAGCAATTGTACTAAATGAAACTCCTCATTGCGTAAAATTCTTATAACTCACCTTGATTTATCTTGAAGGTTGTTCCATGTCGTACTCAATCTTAAACTTTAGTGTCCTTAAGAATCACTTGGGCAGGTTGTATAAAGAACAGACCAAGGTTCCACCCTTCAAAGAGGCTGGCGATGCCTTGGAGTATGCATCTTTAACAAGCATCCAAGGTAATTGCACTGGATGTAATGCTTTCAGAAACATTGCTATTAAAAAAATAAAATACTGGCAACATAAATATTTTCAGTACAAGCACACTTATTTGGAGTCTGGCTCATTTGTTTAATAAATGACGATTGCCTATTTCGTGCAAATTTCTGCTATCTACCATACTTCAGATACCTTTGTATCTGGCGAGACTACAGAGCAAATGAGTTAAATTGCATCATTTTCTCTAGTCTGCTTCCAATGATTTCATTCTTAGTAATGAAAATGATATCTTACATTTGGATAACACTTTATTGTCTTCACAGTTATATATATATACACACACACACACACACACACACACAATATACATATATTGTGTGTATATATATATAAAATTTCATTTGAATCTTATCAAAAGCCAGTAAGCTAGGAAAGGAGGATTTTATTGTCCCTGTTTTATGCGTGAATTAGATATTGTTGGATGCTCTGTCCAGGGTTGCACGGCTGACTGGGAATGGAGAAAGAGGTACAGCCAACTCCTCCGACTCCACATTCAGCAGTTCAGTGTGGTTTCCCCTGAATCACGCTGTTTGCTGTAGTTTCCTCTTCTGTTTTTTTTCCTGGTGTATGTTTGGGTTAGTTTGCCTATCAAATAGAAAAGAAGTCACTCCTTTCAACCGTGAGAACCTCTCATTCCCACACTTCCCTTCCCTCGCCATGAAGTCTACCAAAAATAATCTGGATAGATATTTCCTTATACTACTGCTTTTCCTTATTGTGAAAGAGTTTGTTTTTAAAGAACCATCAAGTATACTTTTTAGATGCCTACAAAGTTTGTTTGCCTTTCTCTGGGGGTTCTACTGGCTTTTATTCCTGCAAATGATACCTGACTCCTGGAATAATAGACTTTTCATTAAAGGAAGAATTTCTGAGGACTTAGGTAGCCTGGAGTTTTAATGAAAAACTACTCAGTAGTGACTGGCGTAAAAGGAAGAGTAAGGTCCTCCTGGGTTCAAATACTATGTGACCTACCCCCTTGGAGCCTCTCCCCTCATCAGCAAAGGTGAAGACAATGTTATCTATCTTGCAGGCTTATTATAAAAAGTCAAAATAACGCTTGTGCAATGTCTTGCACAGTTTCTAGCACATAGGTCTGGTAAAAATGAAATTTCACTTCACTTAGTATGAATCTTACCTTTGGAAATTTCCTTCATCTCTGAAAAAGACATCATCCACTATTTCTATGACAAAGAAAATATTGTTCTATACTTTGCTTGTTTGTATGTGTGTGTAGACAGAAATGTGTAGATCATTTGCCTTTTTTCTGCCGCTTTTGCAAACTGGTCTGGGAAGAGAATTAATGGCCATTCAGTGTTTCCCATTGGAACACCTCTGACTAAAGAAGCAATTTCTAACAGCTTCTGTTGTGAGACCGAGAAGAGAGTAAAGATGGAAATATACTATTATTCTTAAGGGTTTCAAGGGCATGCTGGCTGTGGGAGACAATAGGAAAGGGCTTGAAATTCCCAAATGGACTTCCTGGGCCTTTGTTGTTGTATTGGTATTTTCTTCCGTCACCTACTACACACAGGGATCTAGACCTTTCTATGGTAATGGCATCAGCAGAGAAATACTCCAATGGAAAGGAAGGACACCAGACAAAAGCGCTTCTTAGCAGTTAAATGAGTTTGTGTCAGTCAAGGTGACCAAGCAGTGGGATCTGGCAAGTGAGACAGCAAATGCCCAGTCCGTCATTGCCTATGCCCCTTGGATACCCAGAAACAAGGGCCCTCTGCCTGACTGCTCTCCTGTGTCTGTGGGGCAGAACCTGGTCACCTGAGACTAGGGTGCCTGAGCCCAAGGTGTGGGAGGAGCTGCCCTCAGACTTTTGCTGAGAGTGCTTTGTGCTTTTCTCATCCTTGTTTTTCCTCTTCATTTTTTTCTTTCCTTTTTCTTCTTTTCTGTCATTCTAATCTCAATTCCCCACTAAACTGTAAGATTCTTGAGGATGGAAAGGTCTTCTCTTTTATCCTCAGTATCTCCTCAATGCATGACTCATTTCCTCCGTTGCTCAGAAAGCAGTTGCTGCGTGAAACCAAAGAGGCCATAGAAGAGAACACCTCCTCCCTCCACAAGGCCATTTCTCAGGGCAAACTTGATTTTTCCGGAAAGCCTATGTAAGGTTGAATTTTTATGATTGTCATTAACCTTTGTGTTGAGAGAGTGTTTTATTATGTCTCGTGACTTTCCTATTTAAAATAGGAAAATTAATGTTTTGACTTACTTTGTAAAGCAGTGGTCCCTCAGGAACCTGATTTCATGGAGAGATTATTTTTTACACATAATGTGGCAATTGTTTGCATGTAAATGAGTTTTTCTAAATTGTATTTGAACATGTTTCTCTCTGAAGTACAAAAGCATTCATCATAACATCTCATTTCTCCCATTACTTTGCTTCGTAAATTCATTTTTCACGGACTGAACAATGCTTTGTTTCTCTTTTTTTAGTATATCATAATTATGAATTAGTGAGGTCCAAATTAATGAGATTTTTCTGTGTCTGTACATGTTATGTTTGCGAAGATTCTCAACACTGCATGGAATCCCTCTCTCAACTCCGCAATTCTTCCACAGAATTGCTCAGTCAAAACCTTATAATTTCTGACTTTGTTTTCCCAGATTGGTCCCCAAGGGATTAATAATTCCTTGAATAAAAACAAAATGTTTTAAGAGGAAGAGAAAAGCAGGAGTAAAAAGAGAAGATAGTACCCTTCCGGAGCCATAATTTCCAACTAAATGGTTTCACCCTCTCCTCCATCTTCTCATCTCCTAATTCTTGCCCTTGCCCCGCAAAGTGTCCTCTTGATGGTTGCAGTTACGTATAACAGCTCCAGTGACACTTGCCACACAGCAGTGGGAGAACAGAGCCCTCAGACATGAGTCATGGAGGGGTCTTCTTTTTCATCAATTTTAAGTCTGGAATTGTTCTCTCTCAGTTTGAATATGTCTCTAGGCATCATGTCCCTCATCACTACAGAAGAGTAGACAAAAGAGTCGTGGAGGGCGGGCAAGAGGAACTGAAAAGCAAAGTGCAGGGTAACAAGCTACAGTACAAATATATCTGCAAACAATGCTGCATTTTATTTAGGGTTGCATACATATATAGCAATAGGGAAGTTATTGCAAACCTAGGCAGCAACAGAACTTTGTGGTCTGATGTGATTAGCAGACCATTCTGTCAAGTAACTATTCCTGATAAAAAAACAATTGAGCAATTTTGTATTAGACCTTAATGTTGGCTAACCATTAGCCTTGTGACCTTTAATGAGACATTTAACTAGCAATAGCTACATCCTAATAACCCTTGACTGGTCTTTCTTCCTCCCTCCCTTCTCTCTCTCTCTTTCTTTTTTTCTCCCTTTTACCCTCCCTCTGTTCTTTCTTCTTTTCTTCCTCTTTTTCCCCCTGCTTTTAAAAAATTTTTAAATGGCCCAACCAAGAGGAAAATCTTTAAACTGGCTTTCTCACAAAGCTTTTCCTTTTGGAAAGTTCAAAACAAGTGTCCATGACACTTAGTTGTTCATAATCAATTCATCTGAGAAGTTGCTTGCTAACAGAATAATGGCAATATACTGTTGTAATCATATACAAATGTCTAGAAATAATAATTTAAAAATTCAGAATAGTTATTACCAATAGTGAGGAAGGAAGAAGGAGGATGTTGGAGGGACACATAAAGGGGACATTAATTGAATCTCTAGTGACTTAAACTCTGGAAGCAGATACAGCAAAATGTTAAGATTTGATAAAACTGGGCAGAGGCTATAAAGCTGTTTTTTCAGTTATTCTCTGTAGCTTTTCAAATGTAATATATATGATTGTGATTTGTCAAAAGTATTCCAGAAAATAAGAAAATCATATTGAACTGTTAGAAGATAAACTGAGGTTTATTAAAAATTTTAAGAGTTAGTTTGAGCAAAAGTCAATTGGAATTGGTCAGCGCCAGACCGGAAGTGGTAAGGAGCGCTCTGCTGACAGAAGCTTGGGAGCTACTTCATTACAGAGAAAAGGCGGAAGCAAGGTAAGGAAATGATTGATTGGCTGTATCTTAAAGCCTAGTCAGCTGTTTGTGATTGGTTGTCGTTAGGTTTCAATGTTGCAACCTTGAGGCACTTCCAGGCTTAGATTTTGGTTTGCTTATGTAGGTGTAACGGCATTAGAGCCACCTCAGTCTAACAGCCTCCTTGTTTAATTAATTTAACACATTCCACCAACCTTTCTACACCGCCTCCTCGCTCCTTATCATCCTCTTTCACTTCCCTCTTTCACCTTACACCACAAATGTGCCTATAAAAGTTAGGACCTGAAAAACATTTGAAATTTTTCTCCAATTTTGATCAATAAGTAGTTATTCAATTAATGGCATATGCATATCTTTTCTTATGGGATGAATGACTTTCATAGGCCAGAAGATAAAGGAGAATCCTAGAGATCCAGCATCCTATTTAGTGGTTGACAAATACTTATAAAATGTCGTCTCTCTCTAAGTCACACCGAGGTGAGATATATGCGTGGGAGACAGTTCCTGTTGTCAAGGATTTTGCAATCTAGGAAGACACATAACACCGTTACCGGAAACTTTTGCAAATTTTATAGAGATTAAGAAGGGTTGCCAGTCTGAATTAGTCTTAAGACTAAACTATAGAACATTAAAAAAACCATTGATATAGATATTGTCAATTCCACCATCATGAATTTATTCTACAGGTAGAGTTGCACATGTGTGAAATGATTTATACATAAGCTTTGTTTGTTAGAGCAAAAAACTGGAAAAAACCTAAATATCCATCATTGTGGGTCTGGTTAAGTAAATTAGGGTATGTCCATGCAATGGAATACTATGCAATCAAGAGAATGTGACATCCTAGATACCATAAAATGAACAGAATTCTCCCCAGGAAACATTGTGAACTGAAATAAAGTAAGACAATCAAACAAACACAACAATAAACCAAAGTGCAAAATAAAATAAAGTATTCTGTAATTTGTGTGAGGAAATAGATAATTTTATACATATATGTATGTATTTGCATAGAATATCTGTAATGATACAAAAAAGAACTAAAAAGAGGATGAAGAAAATTGGGTAGTTGGGGAACAAGAATAGGAGAGACATTGTGTATCCTTTTATGCCTTTTATATTTTATACTGTGAACATATATTACATAATAAAATAAAATTACATAAAAATACAAAGATGTAACAAATAAATTGGAAATATAGGAGAAAGGAGCACTAGAAAAAAAGAATTGAAAGTAAAGACAGATTCTTTTCCTTCCTTTTTTTTTTTTCCTTTGCAATGTATTTTGAGAATTTCTAAAGTATTAGAAGACTAGCACTCCTGCATTTATAAAACCGGTGGATGGGGTAGAAGGTTTGGAGGGCATGAGAGAGCTGATCCATTCAGTTCAGAGTGTTCTGGCTGTGGTCATCGTGTGAGGACATCAAGGCTAAGCATCCCTTTATGTGGCGGAACTGACCCTTTAGAAACTACCTCTCCCAGCAGACTGTACTCCTCGAGGGCAGTGACTAGCTTTGTGGATCTTCAGATCCTCTTGCCCACGGGGGATCTGGCTCACAGTGAGTGAGGTATGAATACATTTGGTCTGAATTGAATGACTGACTGATTAGGCTGGGGTATGGGGGTGGGTACAGTGCTATGAGAAGGAACAAAGTTGCCATGTATTTGCTTTTCAAGGGGACAAGTCTGTTGCATTTGTCATTACTTTTATCTGGTGACAGCAACAAGATATAAAATATTGATATTTTAAATAATAAAAGTCATGACCATTGCTAAGTAGAGTTCGGTGGAACCTGCTTTAAAACGTAAACAAGAATCATTTGTAGGTAGCAGAGCCATTGTTTATATGCAAATGATTCTGCTTAAGTGGCTTTAAGTGCAAGAGAATAGCTCACTTTTTCAGTAGGCTGAACACCCTGATTATGCTTACCTTGTATATTTGTATAATCCTGTATATTTTTGATAATCCTTTTTTCTTAGTGCAATGATAACTTAAGCCAAGTCACCTTCTACGTTACTGCAATATAGAATTTTGAATATCAAAATTTGTTAGGATTTATAGTATTTATTTCCCCTTTAGGGAAGCTATGAAGAAGAGTTTTAGTTTATGGTAGCATAACTAAATAAAAATATTGCAGATTCCCATTTTCATAACTGACTATGAGGTATATATTCATAGACCTACATATTAATATATGTAAATGTCTCCAATCTGATTATTGCATAGTTTTAGCATTCTAGAATGTATAATTTCCAATTCCTGGAGGCGCGATCTTGCATAAAGCTCATATCTCACCATGTATTATTTTTCTTCCAACTGCACTAAATTCCTATTGTACTGAATTAAAATGTGGATATGAAAGTCTGCAAATAGGTGGGTTGTCACAGGCTGTGGAGAAAATCTCATTTTCTCTTTGAAACTTCCTATGGGACCTTCTCTTTTCCTGAAGTGTGTCTTTTGAAATTTTAAAATGCAAAAGTTAGAAGGAGAAAGCTCAATGAAAATGAGTTATTAATATTTAACAAAGTGTAGATGACTGTTTGTTTAAATGTGCATCTGGAAATGGCCGTTGGGAATGAGACAGTCACACGTTTTAACACGAACGTGTTTTCGCTCTCACCAGCTTAATGTTAGTGCCGTTTTGAGTCCTGCTGATTTCACATTAACCCTGTTTGTCCAGGGCCTGGAGATCCTCTTTTATTTCCCACAGGGAAGGGGTAAATGGCGCTAACAAGAGCTGTAGAGAGTGCAGTTTAGCCTCTGCTTCTTGCTTGGGCACTCAACGTTTTGCGATCTAGGATTCCTGAGATCCATTTTTGGTTCAAGATTCTTCTTATGAAGTTATATTTCTCAACCTTTAAAAATCCATGGTTCTTCCTGATCAACACAGCCATCTCACAATTTCTCATATCATTATTTAAAATTTCAAAACAAATGGAACCAATATTATGCCTAGAACCAAATTAAACTCATTGTAATATTGAGGATGCTTTTTTTAACCATACCTACAGCACTCTAGAAATTTTGATACCTTGGGGTGGTGAAGGAGGATGAAGAGGATGAAAAATCCCCTCCACTGAGAGTCTACCTTGGCACCATCAGCAGTTCCACAGGAAAGACCAATGACAGCCTTGGCCCTCTTTATGGGGCGCAGTCGGGGTCCCGCTGCTCAGGGAATGGGGTTGGACTGATGCGGTAGGCTCAGGATTTGCCCTTTCTCTCGCTGACCAGGTGTCTTTGTTTTTGTTTTCTGTTCTTTCCATCTTCCCCTTCAGAGCATCGTGTGCACTGGGCGGCGCCAATGGCACCCAGACCCCTTCCTGGTCCACTGCATCCAGTCGTGTGAGGTAAGCTGCCTCCCCTTCCCCAAACCCAGACCAGAGTTCTCTTAACTCATAGGCACTTGAGTCCTTCTAGTTCAAGATCTCAACCCTCTCTCACTCCTACGCCCTTTGTTTAATCTCTTACATTTAGCTCCACAATCCCAAAATTACAAATATTAGACTTTCTGATTTTGTTTTTTTATTTTTTTTTAGGGAAGTCTCCAGGGTTCCATTTTAAATGACTTAATAAAAAATAAGTTAAAAGCAAGTCAGAATTATTTATGGTTTTGGGATTCTCTAACTGGGCCTCGCTTGAGCTTAGTTAGATCAGGGTTTTGCAGATGATGGCCCACAGACAGGTTTGTTTGGCCAGTATGGTGTCTAAAAACAATTTTGTTTTGGTTACCAATGTTTGAAAATTGGAATTTTCACATAAAAGTCACATGTGTATACATAACATTACACATACACACACATGCACACACATTCGAAATAAAAATAAATATAAAACTCGTTGTGCAAAGATTTTTCTCTTGAAAAACAAGAATTTCTGGCAACCATGGCAACAACTAGCTGGATCTGAGTAGCAGGGCAGCTGCTCTCCAGTTCAATATGGTCCTCACCTCTCCTTTTGGCTTCCTACCTAGTGGGCTTCCCGAATTTACATCAACTGCCTGGGTCACGCAGGCATCTATGTTTTCAACCTCTGAGGTAGACTTGTAGTTCATTATTGATTAACCCAAACTAGACCTTTACCACCTCAAGGAACCCTATTCACTTCTTCACACCAGAGATTCACCTACCAGTGGAGGACTTAGGGTGCTATGAATTCGTTAGCTAGAGTAACAGATTATTGCAAGGAAGAGTCAACAATGAAGCAGAGCCTTGGTGATGGAAGATGACCCAGGAATTCTGACATGGGAGAGGGGGATACTTCACACACACACACACACACACACACACACACACACACACACAGTATAAGCCCTCTCACCCTGGGTATAGCCAGTGACAAATACAAATTCTCTAGTCTCAGTCACAACAGGTTTTGTCATGCACATCTCTTCCTGGAAGTAATTAAGCCACTTAGCAGCAATACTTGGGTAATTCTGGCTGCTCCTTGTGCGCTAGATAGAGCTAACTGCCATTGACTTCCAACACCCTCCCCCAACACACACCCAACCCACATGCATGTTAGTCCCTCAGTTCTTCTGTATCTCTGTTTCTCTTGATCTAATTCTGGGAAACTGGGATCTACATGAGGCCAAAGAGGGGGAAAGGGTGGGGTTTGAGACAAAAGGGAAAACTGGGTGGGGAAATGATACCAATAAAATAGCGTTGGGAGAGTGCATCAGAAAAAATGCTAGCATGGAATGTGCTTTGTTACATGTGGGCCAAGAAAACAGCTCATCTTCTGCCATCATTAGAAAAACAGATGGCAGTGGGGTGGGGAGGAGGGGAGTGACTCATCCACTGGGCAGGGGGTAAGAAGAGGGAAGAGGAGGCCAGGGAAGGAGGGAGATAAACAGACAGAGGACTGGGGAGCTGGGAAGAGATCAAAGGGATCCTGAGAATTCCCTTCTGCTGCCTCTATGCAAGATCTGCAAGAGGGAGGGCAGATGACGGGGCTTGGAGCTGGCTTCGGTGTTTCCCGGAAGGTTACAACACAGAACTTTCCCCATTTGTCCTCCTCTCCTCGCTGCCCCCCAGCACATCCGCTGGATCCCTCATCCAGAGCTTCCTAGGCTTCTCTCAGTCTCTATATTGATGCGACAACAAACAAAACTCCATTCCCTCTTCTGACTCCCCTGCCCAAGTGCCACCATGCACAGCTGAGCCTTGATCACCTGATGGCTGTTGATACCCCCACTCCAGTGGTTCTCAAAGTGTGGTCTCTGGACCAGCACAAGTGGAACTCCCAGGAACCTGTTAGAAAGGCTCATTCTCAGGCCCCATCACAGACCTACTGAATCAGAGACTCTGGGTGTGGGGCCCTACAATCTGTGCTTTAATAAGGCCTCCAGGGGATTCTGAAGACCACTAAAGTTTGAGAACCAGTGCCCTAGCCACTATGGGAGCAGGCAAGAAGGTTCCCAACCTATGGATCCCTAACATGGAGCTATCTTTGTCCAGGAAAAATTCTAGCTAATATTATTTACATTCTGATTGTTTCTTCAATATTTCCTGAGACTCGCTGGGTAGGACAAGATTTGAAAGGATGAGATTTTGCTCGAGCAGAGGCCAGGAGGAGAAAAAACCACTTAGAAGGGTGGAAGGAAGAAGCAAAGAAAAAGGAGAATCAATACCCACAGGAAAGGAAAGGGAATTGCACAGGAGAGGAGACGGAGAAACAGCTCTGAAGAAACAAGTAGCAAGAAATGCTGAGAGGGAGGGTGAGAATGAGAAAGAAAAGACAAGAGAGGCTGGAACTGGGATGTTCTAGGGCAGCTTGGCAGACACGTAATTCTTTACTGGAAAAAGTCAGCTAAATTTATTAGGGAGAACTGAAGAGTGTCAAAGACAGACGGGGGCATAACAGACACGGAGGTAAGGTAAACCAGAGGGCTAGGTGGGGGAGAGGAAGTTTTCAAAACTACAGCACAGAGATCTGAGCTCAAATTAGACACTTTGCTCCCCGGTATCTAAAAAGGGTTTTCTTTTTTGCTTTCCAATACTGAATATTATTGTAAGATGTTCCCCTTAGACATTCAGCCCTATAGGAGTGGATCACCTCATTCTTTATTTCTCTCAGTCAGCCCAAGGCTGTGCATTCATCCCTTCATAGCGAGCCCATGTCTCACTTCGTGTCACATCTACACCTTTTATTGTGTCATATCCCCTTTGCCACAGAGATCAAGGCTTCAAATCTCTACTCTTCTATGCCTCTCACATTCTTTAAGAGACAGATCTAAGGTTTTCTCTAAAAAATCTTGTGTAGGGCCAGCCCTGTGGCCTGGTGATTAAGTTCGGCATACTCTGCTTCGGTGGCCCAGGTTCAGTTCCCAGGCATGCACCTACTCCACTCATCAGCCATGCTGTGGCAGCGACCCACATACAAAATAGAGGAAGGTTGGCACAGATGTTAGCTCAGGGCAAATCTTCCTCAAAAAAAAAAAAAATCTTGTGTAAATAATGCCATCTTCTCCTTGTCGCTTATGTTCCCATTGTCTCAGCAAGGACATGTGTGTACCGGGTATCTGCAGTCCAAGCTTGTTCCTACATTAAATTCTGTTTTTCTAGTTGTTTCTCACACTTGACCTTCTTGACCTGAACACTTGTATTTTCTATTTCTTTTGTTAAGTTGCAAATGGAAAGGAATGGCAGCTTGGTTGGTGGAAAGGTTTTGGGGTCAAATGTAGATTCAAATCCTGAGTCAGCTAAGTGGTGCGAGCCTTAGTGTCTTAATCTGTATTGGTAAGTAGGGGCAACAAAGCTATTTGAAGGAGTTGTGATGAGGGATTAATGTGATAACGTACATAAAACATTTAAGTGTCATGCCATGCCTGGTCCATAATAGATGCTTACAGAGTGGTGGCATTTGTTGTGAACTATTAGTCACTTTATGAATGCTTACTGAATGAGTAAAGCAGAAAGCAAGGGGCAGAGCTGCTGATGTGGCCTCAACATGATTAGGTGCAAACTCTGAGGATGGGAAAAGGGAAAGAACAAGAGAAGAAAGGGGTAACAGGCCGTTCCCATGGATACTCATTGAGAGCCCTAATTCACAAATCACTTGGAGACAGCGGCTCTATCCAGTCAGTCACCAGGTCAGTCAGTCACCAGATCATTGTATGAGTAGCTCTACTCATTCCTACTGTCATGCGCCTAGTCGGGGCCTCAACGTTTCTCACCTGGGCTATTGCATTGGTTTCCTAATTGTTCTCCCTACTCCCAGACCTGTGCCCATTAAGATTATAAACAAGCATACAAATAGTCTCTTAAAACTGTGTAGAAAACAAATACTTATTCTGCCAAATGCTTGTCCAATAAAGTATACTCTTTCCCAGCATAGAGAGAGAAAAAGAGAGAGAGAAGAAGAGAGAGAGGGTTATCTTCATTTTGTGGGGTAATAATTGAAGTGAGTGTTCCCTCCATTTATGAATGCTATGATACAGTCAGATCATATAAATGTTATCCTCTCTGTCTTTTTTTCTTCTTTCCTTCCTTCCTTTCTCTTTCGTAAAGTCATATTAATTCTTCCAAAGTCCACAGTCCTAGGTTCCACTTAAATTAAGAACATCTATGATGTAATCTGTGCAGAAATAGAAGTATAATGATGTACACCTGAAATTTATACAGTTATAAACCAATGTTAATGCAATAAACAAAAACTTAAAAAAAAAAAGAACATCTTGTTCTCTAGGGAATGCAGCTGGGACTAAAGATCACACTTACAGCTTCATTTTGAATAGATATGATTAATTTGCTTCGTGCAAGATGATTAAAATTGAGTACCCATTGACCTATATTTTGGCTCTGCTTTTTCTGTGAGCATATATTTCTTGCAAGTTCATCCTGTTCTTGCCAGCAGCCTCCATTTTGGATTAGTTTCTGAGATTCTCTCTTCAGCCCTTTGCTGGTTCTTGTAGTTGTGCACTTTCTTTTTCAAAAGAGGAGCTTCAGAGAGGGACAGAGGCAGAATGATATCAGGAGAGTAGGTTTAAATTCTGACTCTACACTTATTAGCTGTGTGTAGTATCTGTCTGGCTTTCTCTCAGAACTCCTGTGAGAATCAAGTGAAATAAGTGATGTTAGGTATTGTATAAATTGCCAAATAATATAACATATTAGTAGAGATACTACCTAAGGAACGACATACATGACTTTGGGGGACAGGGTCTTATTGAAACAATATGTATTTATTATGAATCAAGAAACAGTTCCCTTATACCCAGTTTATATCTTTATGAGTATTTATTATATACTGTGGGTAGCCATGGCTAATGATGTTCTTGAGGCTTCCAATAAAACTGAGAAAGCCTTTCAAGGTTTGGGGGAGTTTCAAGTAAGTCTCCCTGGACGTT